AAAAGCGTGGGTTTCACCGCCCCCAATCCTTACCAAGCCTCTTAGGTCTGGTAGGAAGGTTAGTAGGGACCCCAGAGGGATTATTTAAAAAAGAAAATGTGCGTGGGGTTCCCTCTAAAAGCCCTACCAGATTAGGCCTGGCAGGACCTTTAAGGGGAACCGCCACCAAAATGGGGGGGAAAGCGTGGGGTTCCCCCTAAATTCCTACCTGACTCTTTTTTTTTAAATTTAAATATTTATTAATTTTCAAAAATAATAACAAACACTTTTATCATATTCATAATAAATACACATAACTATTTCTTATTACTTTTCTTTTTTCCCTCTTCTTTCCCAACATCTCATCCAAAGCAAGAAGAATTTCCTACCCATTCACCCACTCTATATCATCCTACATTTCACTTTTTCACGTTTTCTCCAGATTTTTCCCATTTTTCCCATTTCGCATAGTATATCTCCATCTTATCTTCCTGCATGTAATAAAGCTTCTCCATCTTACTAATCCAGTTTACTCTCTCTATCCAATCCTCCTCTTTCGGTACTTCTGTTTTCCTCCAATACTTAGGGATCAGACTTTTTGCAGCATTCAAATAATACCCTAAACCTAATTTCTTATATTTGCTAACTGATAGCTCTGAACTATGCAGCAAACACATCCCTGGGTCTATCCCAATTTTTATCTCAGTTATGATCTCAATTAAATGTATTATTTTTTTCCAGAATACTTGAATTTTTTGACATTCCCACCACATGTGATAAACTGTCCCTACTTCTCCACATCCTCGCTAACACCATGGTGATTTCTCCCCACTTATCTTATAGTCTAAACTTGGTGTAATGTGCCATCTTATCAAACATTTATAATTTATTTCTACATCCCTCAAACTTACATTTTCGTGGACTAATCTATTTATTTTCTGCTGTTTATCGTCATCTAATACCACCCCCAAATCTCTTTCCCATTTCACTATGTGCATTGGTCTTGTGTTTGTGTCTAGTTCTGTGAGAATTCTATATATTTTAGCTGTGCCGTGTCTCCCATCCCCCCGTGAATCCATCAACCTTTCAAACAAATTCCAATCTTTTTTCATTCTCAGAGGCTTTGGTAGATTTCTCCAAAAACTTTTTAATTGGTGATAACGCCACTCATCTAACCTAGTAAATATCTTTCCCTTTTCCTTTTCCAACTCTTTAAAGGGCTTTAATTCCCCCTCCCCCATTATATCTCTCAGTTAGATATCTTCCTTTTTAAACCATCTACCTGTTATCTCCTCTCTACCTGGGGGAAAGAATTCCGTATTTCTTAGTGGCATCAATATAGAATTGAATTCCCACCTCATAAATTTGTGTACTTTATCCCATTCCCTTAATACATTTACAGTGTATATACTTCGATCCTCTTTCAATCCTCTATATTGTGTCGGTAACCATATGATTCTATTCAAATTAGTTCCACTCAGTGCATTTTAAAATTTTTACCCAACTTTTCCCCTCTAAATTGAACGTCCAATCACAAATTCTCCCTAATATTACTGCTTTGTAATATCTCTTGATATCTGGAACTCCCAGACCTCCCTTCCTTTTGTCTCTACTTAATATTTCATAAGACACCCTCGGTCTTTTGTTTCTCCATATATATCTTGTTATCATTCTTCTTATTACCTTGAAAAACACTTCTGGGAGTTTAATTGGGATCATTTGAAACCTATATAAGATTTTAGGTACAATTATCATTTTTACCAGGTTTATACGTCCTATCCATGACGGGACTCCTCTTTCTAAAGTTTTTAATTCCTCCTTCACTTCATTTAATAATGAAATATAGTTTAGTTTATACAGGTTCTTATACGCCGTGGCGAGCCTTACTCATAAATATTTTATATCTCTTTCTTTCCAGATGAAGGGGAATTCCTTTTGTATTTTCTCTTTTTCACTTTTTGGGATATTTATATTTAGTATCTCAGTTTTTGTTGGATTGATTTTTAAGTTTGATAATTCCCCATATTCCTTCAGCGACTTCATTAGGTTTGGGAGTGTTAACCTGGGATTCCCCACATAAAATAGCAAGTCATCTGCAAAGGCCGCCACTTTATGCTCTATGTCTCCCACCTGAATCCCCTTTATATCGCTATTCTTCCTTATTGTAGACAATAAGGGCTCCAATGACATGACATACAACAAGGGGGACAAAGGGCATCCTTGTCTTGTTCCATTTGACATCCCAATGGGCTCTGTGTTTTCCCCATTTACTATAACTACTGCGGAGGGCTCCCTATACAACTTTCTAATCCATTCTTTCATTCTATCTCCAATTCCCAGGGCTTCTAAGGTGTCCATCATGAAGCCCCAATCTACTCTATCAAAGGTCTTTTCAGTATCGATCGAAAGAACTACAGTCGGGTACATCCCCTTTTCTACTTTTCTGAATAAGCATCAGGGTTCTCAGCCCATTGTCCCTCCCCTCCCTCCCTGGGACAAAACCCACCTGATCCCCGTGTATCCATTCAGGCATAAGCTCTTTCAAACTATTTGCTAGGACTTTTGCATATAACTTGGTATCTGAGTTCAACAATGAGATTGGCCTATAGCTAGAACACTGTGTAGTGTCTTTTCCTTCCTTATGTAACAACACCACATGAGCCTGTATAGATTCTCTCCTCATGTCCATCTCTCCTACCAAAGCATTCATATACTTCTCCAGCTTGGGAACTAGTAATTTGCTAAATTTTAATACCTCACCGTGTAGCCATCCAGTCCCCGTCTCTGTGCTTTTAAGCGCTACTTTTATTTCTACAAGTGTAATTTCTGCTTCTAGGGATTTTATTTGATCTTCCTTTAATTTCGGTAGACCCGCATTTTTTAAATATAACCTTCTTTTTTTCTCTTTTTTCAGTTTCCATATTATTTACTGAGTCATAGGGATTGATGTTATACAACTTTCTATAATAATCCATAAACACCTTTGCAATCTCTTTATTTGAGTGGACCAGTTCTCCCTTGGAGCTTATTATTTTTTTAATATAATTCCTATTTTTCTTTTTCCTTAAGGCTCTCATTAGATGTTTTCCAGGCCTATCTCCCCACCTATATCTCTCACTTAGCACTTTATTATAGACTCTCCATCTCTCCTCCTCCATTAAAGTCTCTAGCTCTTCTTTCTTTTTTATCATCTGCTGCCTGATTTCTTTTGCTATACTATTTTTATGTGTCTGTTCCAGATCAGATATATCTTTTAAAAGTCTACAAATTTTTTCTCTTCTTTCTCTTTTCTTTCTTGCCCCAATTGCGATCAATATACCTCTTATATATACCTTATGAGCCTCCCATACTGTAGCTATCGACACATCCTCTGTCTCATTCTCTCTAAAAAATCTCTCAATTTCTTTCCCAATCTTCTGGACAGTATCCTTATCCTGGAGAAGTGCCTCATTCAACCTCCATCCTACACCACCTGTTTTCTCCCTTCCCCACCCCATCTTTAATACAACAGGGGCGTGATTTGAGATAGTCATTGCTCCTATTTCTACTTCAACCATTGATTCAATAAATCGATGTTCTATCAATATGTAATCCAACCTCGTATACGTCTCATGTGCACTTGAGAAGAATGTATAGTCTATGTCCTTCATATGCATAATTTTCCATGTGTCTACCAATTGAGACTCATGGATCACCTTCTTTAATACTCTCAGAGACCTACTCCCCTCGCGCTGCACAGGAGAGGTTGTATCCTTTTTTGGGTCCATACAAAAATTTAAATCCCCGGCCAATATCAAACGACCCTTTTTAAAGTCCATCAATTTTTTTAGCGCCCCTCTCAGATATATGTCCGGTTTCTTATTTGGACAATAAATATTTGCTACTGTACACTCCACCTCCTGCAGTTTACCCTTCAAGAACAAATATCTCCCCTCTGGGTCCACTTTTTTATCCTCCAACTCAAACCTTATATTTTTTTTGAACCCTTATGCCACCCCTTTTCCTCTCCTAATCGGGGAATCTGCATAGTAACATGTTGGATAATATCTTGATTTTAACTTAACCCTGGATTCTATCTCAAAATGTGTCTCTTGCAAAAAAACCACTGAAAATACTCTATGATGAAGTTCTTTAAATAACCTAAATCTCTTCCCAGGACAATTCAACCCCTTTACATTATACGTGACAACTTGTAGTTCTTCCATCCTTCCCTGATACTAATGAGCTCCCCTACCCACAGACCCTCACAACCACCGAGCCAGAGTTGTGGGGAAGAGGCCCTTGTCCCCATCATCATGGGGTCACCTTCCCCAAGCCGAGGGCACATGGCCTAGTAAGCCGCAGGGAGGGGGTGCTTGATCACCTCCCCTTTCCTGCCCTGCCAAGCCAGTGTTCAGATCAAGAGCCTGGTAGGAATTTAGGGGGGACCCATGCTTTTTTCCCCACATTTGTTGGGGGTGGGGGTTCCCCTTAAAAGTTCTACCAGGCCTAAAGGGGGAACCCCATGCATTTATTTTTTTAATAAAAATGTCATATTTTTAAATAAAATGTCAGTCCTGCTGCAGTAGGACTATTTAACCACTAGCCTACAGGGCACTTATACCCCCTTCCTGCCCAGGCCAATTTCCAGCTTTCAGCGCTGTTGCACGTTGAATGACAATTGCGCGGTCATGCAACACTGTACCCATATGAAATTTTTATCATTTTTTTGTGACAGATAGAGCTTTATTTTGGTGGTATTTAATCACCTCTGGGTTTTTTATTTTTTCTTAAACAAACCAAAAACCACTGAAAATTTTGAAAAAAAAAAACTGTTTTTTCTTCGTTTTTGTTATAAAATTTTGCAAATAAGTGATTTTTCTCCTTCACTAATGTGCGCTAATGAGGCTGCAGTGATGGGCACTGATAGGCTGCACTGATGGACACTGATAGGTGGCACTGACGGGCACTGATGAGGAGGCACTATTAGGTGGCATGGATGGGAATTGACAGGCATCACTGATGGGCACTGAAAGGCAGCACTCATATATGGCACTGATAGGCGGCACTGACTGGCACTGATAGGCGGCACTGACTGGCACTGTTAGGTGGCACTGATAGGCTGCACTGACGGGCACTGATAGGCGGCACTGATGCACACAGGTGGCACTGATTGGCAGCACTGATAGGTGGCACTGACTGGCATTTATAGGTGGAACTGATGGGTGACACTGAAAGGCAGCTCAGATGGGCACTGATATGTGGCATTGATGTGGCACTGATGGGCACTGAAATGTGGCACTGATATGGCACTGATGGGCACTGGCAGGTGGCATGGATGAGCACTAAGAGCTGGCACTGATGGACACTGACAGGTGGCACTGCTGGGGCTACACAGATCATCAGGGCACACTGATCATCAGTGCTCTGATGATCTGTGTACATGTCCCCTCCGAGGAATGCCAATTACAGGCTCTCCTCTCCGCTCGAGCTGTCAGCGTGACAGCCTAGCAGCTAATTAGCAATTTCTATGCACAACAATTTATCGCCGCCAACCCAAATTCAATCTTTGCCAGACCATTCTCATGGAAACCCATTATGGTTTCCGAAATTAATTATTTTTTGGCCTAACCCTCAACATGGGCATTACTAAAAATAATGAATTGCGGTTGTATTGGTCCACAGACCCGATTCATCATATGCCCGTGTTTTCTGCTGCCACGGCCAGGCATAGTTTAGAGAGTATAATGTGTTTTATGCATTTCAATGACAATACACTCTGTCGTCCTTGGGGTGACCCTGAATTTGACTGGCTCCACAAAATTCGGCCCCTCATAAATCACCTTTACCAAAAATTTACAGATGCCTATACTCCCCAGCAAAACATCTGCGTTGATGAGTCCATCATTAATTTTTCTGGCTGCCTTGCATTCAAACAATTTCTCCCCAGCAAGCATGCCAGATATGGGGTCAAGATGTATAAGACCTGTGAGAGGGCAACAGGCTATACATATAAGTTTTGGATTTATGAGGCCCACAGATGCCTAGACTACATGGGGAGCAGTGGCAAGATAGTTTGGGACTTGGTGTCATCCCTTTTCCATATGGGGTACCACTTATACGTGGACAATTTTTATTCAAGAATGCCACTATTTAGACATTTGTACAATCTTGTAATTGGCTCATGTGACACCATGCGACCTAATGTGTGCCCACTATTAGAAGTGGGTGGATGCAGGATGGTATTTTCTAATGGTGGGCATACCACACACTTATACCCAACAAGGACCAGTGACATACTGGTATATCACTGGATTTTGAATGGTTATACCAGGATGATGCCTACAGCTGCAAGCATCATCCTGGTATTGTTTTTTTTTTTCAGCCAGCTATCAGCTTTCATGTAAAAGCAATCCTAGCAGCTAATTAGCTGCAAGATTGCTTTCACAAGCAGTAGGAGATGATGCCCCACTCCCCAGCTGCCTTCTATGGACTTCTTGGGCAGTCCCATGCCATCGGAGGAACCTGAGAATGCAGCCAGTGTTTTTGCCAGCTGACCATAGAGCTGATTGGAGACCGGAATGGTGCCAATCATCTCTATAGTATAAGAATTGGAAGCTACGAGCATTTCATCACTTCAGTTTCTCAGGATATAAACAGCGCCCTTTGTAAATTAGGAAAGCATCTGATCACACCGATCTTGGTGAGATTAGATAGCATAAGGGCAGAGGAGATATCTGGAGCCTGATAGACCCCAAATTTCTCAAAAAAGAATATATGACAATGCCCATTGAAGTTATAGGGGATATTTGAATTCCCTGTGATAACATTAAAGGTGATAAAAAAAATGAAAGGGACAGTGTAAAAAAAATAATAATAAAAAAAAAAAACCTCCCCCCCCCCCACACGTGCGTGCACTTGTGTGCTTGAGTGTTGACCCTGTGTCGGTATGTAAACAGCGGTTGCACCATGCATGTGAGGTATCGCCGCAAACATCAGATCAAGGGCAGCAATTCTAGCACTGCAGTTTTAAAGCATGTCATGTTTGGTATCTATTTACTTGGGCATACCATCATCTTTTAGATTTTACCAAATTATTGGCCAATATATTGTGCTTTTGTTCATTAAAAGTAAAAATGGTGTATTTTTTTTTAAATTTGAGTTTGAGTTTCTCTGCTATGCGACATAAAAAATTGCAGCACCCACCATTTTATTCACTAGGGTGTCTGCTTTAAAAAAATATATAATGTTTGGGGATTCAAAGTAATTTCCTACAAAAAATACTGATTTTTGTCATGTGAACAAAACGTGTCAGAAAAGGCTTGGTCTTCAGGTGGTCAGAAAAGTGAATGATGGGTGGCATAAACTTCTAACACTAAAAAACTTGCCCCCACCCCCAATACAACCCCTTTTTGGAAGGTAGACACTGTATTTTGGGGTGCAATTCCACATGTACTCATGGCTTGTGTGAGCAATATATAATTTAAATGACAACTTTGTGAAAAAAAAAATGTTTTTGTTATTTTCCGAAAACTTGTGGAAAAAAAGAAAATCTTCCATGGACTCAATATGCCTCTCAGCAGATAGCTTAGGGTGTCTACTTTCTGAAAAGGAGTCATTTTGGGGTGTTTGTACTATCCTGGTACCTCAAGAAATGTGATAAGCAGTCAGAAAGTAAAAGCTGTGTAAATTCCATTATCTATACCATAGTTTGTAAACGCTATAAATTTCACGGAAAGCAATAAATATACACTTAGTGGGATTTTTTTTTAACCAAAAAACATGTAGCAGAATACATTTTGGCCTAAATTTATGACGAAACTTGAGTTTTTTGGATATTTTTTTATGAGAGAAATGAGAAAAGATCATCTTTTTTGTTTATGGGGCAAAAAATAAAATGTGCCCAGGTGAACAAATACCACCGAAAGAAAGCTATATTTGTGTGAAAAAAAAAGGGACATAAATTTCATTTAGGTACCGTATTGCATTACCGTGCAATTGTCAGTTAAACTAGTGCAGTGCTGTATAGCAAAAAATGGCTTAAAGTGCAGTATCTATACCATAGTTTGTAGACGCTATAACTTTCACACAAAGCAATCAATATACACTTATTGGGATTTTTTTTCCCAAAAACATGTAGCAGAATACATTTGGCCTAAATGTATGACTAAATTTGAGTTTTACTATATATTTTTTTGTTTGGGACCCGGTGATCTTGTGATCGCTAAGCGATCATTTGATCACAATGTTAGCAGGCTTTGCTTCTCTTCCTGGTGTGCTCTCACATGGTACATGGGCCAATCACAGAACCCTGTACCATGTGATTGGCTGTAGCCAATCACATAGATCACTAGTATTTTAAACTGTCTTGAATTTAACTCAAGCATTGCATTGCAGGAGCAATTATCTTTATTGCTCCTGCAATGCAAAGTGTAAAAAAAAACAAATTCCTGATCACCCCCCCAAAGAAGTACATTGTTACTATGGTAACATTAAACTACTCTGATGAAAGTACTTCATTTTAATTTTTTTTACTATTTAAAAAAAAAATAAAATATTGAGAAAAATTGTAGTTAATTTATTTATTTTTTAACTACTTGACGTCCCCCCTCAATATGCAGGTGAGCGATGGCATACGTCACTTTCTATTTCCAGGTGTGAGCGGGCATGCACCCCCCTACTGCCCCCCGCCAATCCAGGGAGAGAGAACACCACACTGTGAGTAAAAACACTACATTTTACACACACATGTTAGATTGATACATTTAACTCCTTGACTGCCCCTATTGACCCTTTGATTACCCCTGTTACCCAGCCAGTGCCATTAGTACAGTCTCAGTATAAAGAATTTTTTACTGATTACTGTATTACTGCCACTAGCGACATCAGATAGCATCAGGGTCAGTTAGTGCCCCTCCCAGCCAGGGTCAGCTAGGGATAGATTGCCCTTAAACTATTGCACTCATGCTATAGGCCACTGATCACCGCCATTACTAGTATAGTGTTTGTACGGATCAATATATTGATCACAAACTGAACTATACTAGTGCCCCCTTTGACGCAATGTGGTGCCCGACCCCTGCTCTTCTCACCAACTCATGACAAAGGACCAGCCAATCTCAAACCGTGCTGTCACTTGCGTAACAATGCCACTCTTAGCTGCATACGAAAAAGAGGGGTTGTGAAAAAGAATTCACAGAAAAGTGGTTACATCATGGACAGAATGCGATACTCAGAATAATTCCCAAAAATTATGCTTTATTACACAATAGTTATAGACAATAGGGTAAATACCCTGGTTCACCATCACCTCAGTATGAGATAATACACAAGGACCTAAAATCACATAAAAACAACATCAAGACCGGTCTTAATATAAATGTGCTGCATAAGCAATGACAGAAACCTGTCTAGTGCATTTGCAGAACCAACACATTGGTTACACCACCAGCAGGGGTGTGTGTCAAAAAATTGTACCATCAGGTATGTACTATACAGCGCTATGCAATATTGGCTGATAACAGGCACCATATATTAATGAAATTACCCATAACCCTATAAAGGCAATGTGGGTGAAAAATTGTAAATATAAAGGGAGGGTTCGGATGCTCCTATAATAACAAGATGATAGAATAATAGCAATGCAGCCCCTATGTAAGGCACGAGTGAGTGGTGAACATGTATAGATTCACAATGGACATGCCCATATGTAAAGATGCAGAGTTATTCATGAAAGAATCACTGTTGGTATCCTTAGTGAGATAAAGATGGCAGGGCCCTGTTTCACAGGGTTTCTTCACCGCAACGTGCGGACTATAAACCACCCTAATATAGATGATAGTATGAAGCCTGCTGAGTCCTCCGTCTCTTGTAATATATAATTGGTGCCTTGCACCTGGATTGTGAATCATATTGTCCCCATCCTGCAATAAATTGATGACATACTAGTATGTTGCCTCGACTTTGAATGGTTATACCAGGATGATCCAGCTACAGGCAGCATCCTGGTATTGTTTTTTTTCAGCTGGCGATCTGCTTTCATGTGAAAGCAATCCTAGTGGCTAGTTAGCCACTGGATCGCTTTTGCAAGCAGTGGAAAGGGACATCTCTGTCACCTTCCACTGCTTTCTCAGGCTCTCCTGTCCCAACAAGGAACCCAAGAATGCGCCCGGCAGTTCATCCAGCTGACTATGGAGCTGATGGGAGACCAGAATGGCACCAATCATCTCTATAGTCTAAGAAACCAGAAGCAATGTACATTTCATCATTTCGGTTTCACCGGATATAAACAGCACCATTTTTAAATTTGGAAAGCATCTGATTGCATCAGTCTTGCTGTGATCTGATGCTTTAAGGGTAGAGGAGAGATCTACAGTCTAATAGATGCCAGATTTCTCAGA